ATGAAAAATTCTTTATTGATCGCTGTATCTCCATAATATCGTGGTATCGATGTTGATACCTTCACGGAGGTATCTGTCTCTAAACTCTTCACTGTACTAAATACACAACTACTATTGGCCGCAGTCGGACGGGCATCTAAATGCTGGATGTATATCTTTGGAGAACTCGCATCCGAATGATCATAATTCTCTGCTCCTGTTCCAAATATTAACCACCAACAATCTTTGTTTGAATCCTCTAATGACGACGGTGTACCACTGTTGATATCTGTTTGGGTTCTTGCTAACACTGGCGCATTCAAAAAACCTGCCTTATTTGCTAGACTTGTTGGTAATTCATCGGGAATTGTTAATTCAAATATCGGTACCGGATTGTCATGGTCTGTTATGTCTAATACTAAGATATAGGGATACAACCGCTCTTGATGCGTGTTGATTGGTTTACAACCGACACGACCATTTACAACCAAGATCGTTCCCCATCCTTTATAATGCGAACTACCTCGTATACTTCCTAGGTTCTCTGGAAAGATATTGGCGTGAAATGTCTGAATTTCGCCATCGGCAAAATAGGTATGACAATAGTCTAAGGTCGGCAACCATTTTAGCTGCCCTAAAGCCGGCTTAGGGATATACATCCATAGTTCTTCGCCGATCTTAGATTGTGAACCAGCATCATAGTACGCTTCTACCATTCGTGAATCTGTTTGATCTGGATCTACATTTCTAAAGGTTCCTAAATGAAACGCATGAATACCGCCATCATTGGCGCCAACCACAACCATATCTGTTTCACCTGTGATACGTCTTAAAAACTCTGTGTAGTTTGGTAACTCACCGGGAAATTTCTCTTTCCAGGGACTGACTGGTTCTCTGACGACTGTTGGGGTACTTCTAAAAATATCTCCTAGTTTCCAGACGTTATCGGTGCCATTGATACGGTATGTTCGTGGGCGCCAGCCCGGATGATCGGTTCCTCGAATATAGTCGATGAGGGTTGTCGCTTCTGGAGAGGTTACAGCTGGATCACTGGCGTTATCTGGATCAAACATTAGGTTGGTAAAGTGGGTGACATTCGCTGCTGTAAAGTCTAGTCGATCTGTTGATGCCAGTTTTGCATAGGCTATCTTAGAGCTAGCATCTTTGGTATAGGCTTTGGTATGGGTATAGATTTTTCGTGTTGCTGGATCTTGTTCCCAGAGTTTACGACCTGCATCTAAAACTCCGGGGACGTTTTCGACGAGTGTTGTTTTATACCAGCCATTAGCGCCGACAAGAAATTTTTGGCCATCGGGTAGATCATCAGAATCACTAGGGTCGACATCGTGGTAGTAGCGAGCATAGGTTTCTTGATCAGTGGAAGAGTATTGGTATTCGATGATAGAGTCTTCCGCTAAGATTAACTGGCCATCGGAACCTCCATTGCCATCGTCAGCACGAAGGTTACCGTATTTATCTAGCCACAGACCATTGAGGTAGCCGATCCAGCGAGCTGTTAGAGTTCCATCAGCACTTTTCCATTCTGGTTTTAGGAAGGATCTAATGGCAATACCTTCATTTTGTGTGCCGCCAGATAGAATAACCGCTGGTGAACCGGAAAAAGCTTGATTGCGTAATACCGATACGGTTCTTTTTAAGGTTTCTTCAACTTTTGAAGCTTGTTGAGCTAAAAAGAAACCGTCAGGAATATTGTCACCATTCTCATCGTACTCTTGAGGAGATGACGGACCAGGGATACCATCCTTCTCTACAAATGAACCATTAATGGCACTGTCTCGCATTAGGCGTTCGGCAATAGAGTGATAATGGAATGTAAAGACAAAAAGCGAGGTGAACGTTTGTTTACCAGGTAAATCTGGTCGTTGATCAACTGTATTAAAGTAGAGCGCAGCATCATCTAAAAAATCGACAATAGAGTCATTGACAAAAGGTCCACGTCCATCACCATCGTAGTCTAAAATCGATTCACCATACTCAGCTACATAAGCTTCAAATTCCGGTACGCCTCTAAATACAAATTTATTCCTAGGGTCGTTAATGCCATAAAAGGCATGTTTAACCATATCATTACGGGGTTCACCGTCGGCTAAGACAACGACAAATGTTTTACGACAGGGAACATATTCTCGACTGCCTTCCCATTCAAAGTAAGGGTCTGTCGAGAAACCATTTCGGTCATGAATCAATTCAAACTCATCTGTACCGCGAAACAACGGTGATTTAAAGCGGTGTAGTTGTGCAACAGTAATAAAACTTTCTAAGGTTGGTGTTGTTCCTTGTGGAGCTAGTTGACCTAATGTTTTAATAAGCGCTTTAGGGTCACTTCCTACATAATGGAGCCACTTTCCTCCTATACCATCTCTATCAAAAGTGGCTAACCCTAAACGCGCTTCATTTGCTAAGGTATGTAGACTGGCTTGGGGTTCTGTTGGGGTATGAATACGTAAGGTACCAGGTGTTGGATTACAGGAACTACCAGGCCAGGCCCCATCACCATCAGGCCATCTTTCACCAGGGGATGGTACAGTTCTCCAAGCATTGGGATCACAATCAACACCGCTTGTATCTTTTTTAAAAGCATCAATGGCACTAACAGATACAGTTGTTTCGGTTAACGGTTGTGCTCGAGAGCAGCTATCTATTCCTCTTAGTTCAAGAAAAATGCCATAGCTCCGCCAACGTTCTTGGATCGTTCCGGTTCTCCAATCAAACGGTATTTTAGGATCAGGGGTACGAGCAAATTGAACAGCGGTACTTGGCGGCAAGTCAGTGTAAGGTGAAGGATCAAAACAACCTGTCAGTGCCCAGCCTGTGCCGGCGGGAACTAGTTCTATCATCTGGCTTACTTCATGCCAATAGCCTCCCCCTGTTAAGTTAGTTTGGATTAAATCCATACGTGACATATAAGCCCAATTCATAAAATTGCCAGAAAAGGCATAGCCGCCATTTGTTAATTCATCACAAGAGCCGTCTGCTTGAATGTTTGATGTACTATCAGTTGTTGTGATAAAGCGAGATACAGTAGAGACAGTAGCTGTACCCCATTTGTAACATTTCTTAGAGTCAAAAGTGCCATAGTAGTCGCTTTGTGGATTGTAGTAAGAACTATAAGCTCTTTCACCCATTGAGCCAGAGTTATCAATTAAAAAAGTGATATTTGGTTTAATTTGCTCATTATTAGAAAAGTAGGGCATGTTGCAATATGTAGCATCCATTGGCCCTAAGCCGATGACTGGTTGTGCCATAGTGCAAATAAACAACACCATAGCAACGTATCTAAGTTTTTGTTTGCTGAATCTTTTTGTGAGTATCGTTGACATCTTGGATCCTACTTAATAAAGTATTTACGTTTTTTTAACATAATTAATTATGTTACCTTAATGTAAGTTTGTGGCGCTACCTTACAAGTGTTAGGCAATACTCAGTTTTAGTGTGATTTATTGAGTAAAGATCGTATCAATAAAACAACTGGAATTCTTAGGAAATGAGCTCTAACAGTGCTAAAGAAAATTATTGGCTTAGGAAAACGTAAGAGTTAAGCCTGCGAAATTTGATGATGTTCTTTTCTAAGATGCTGGCAGTAACTTTTGTAAGTAAGCTGTTGCAGCGTCGGCTAATAGATCTCGTTGTAGTCTGTGTCGGTTACCAAAAAACATGTTAGATGCTTGTTGGTCAATAATATGTCGAGCTAGTAGATCTAAAGCTGCGTTTGTGTCATGAATAGCTTCTGCGTAAATAACACGATCTTCATGTTCGGCTCCTAAGCCTTCCTGTTCATGTAATAGTTTTTGAAAGTACTGTTTGCTAACTTCTCTATAGCGTGGTTGATGGCCAGAACAAATTACAACGTAAAGTTGTTGCCATATTGCATCAGGTAGCTGGTTTTTCCAATCAGAGACGTAGTGGTGTAGAAGGTCTAGTTCTAACCTGGCAGCAAACGCTGCGTTTTCTAGCAGCCACGGAGCTACGTCTTGAGCATAAGAGGTCACCATGTTTATTTCTAACATTGGTTCCTGTAGAAGTTGCTCAATGATCTGCTGAGATCGATCTAAAATGGCTAGAGATACCTTAGTGGCTTCTGCTGGTAGGTTTATCTTGGATAAGCTTTTTTTGATAGTGGCAATATAGGAGAGTTGCGTCTTTAGGTGTTGTAAAGCATTTTTTGTTAGCGTTTTTTGACCATGAGCCATTAACAGCAACTGTAATCCGAAGGCGATGTGACTCAAGGATTTTAGATTATGGTACATTTTGGGAATAAACTTGTTGCTCTGTTTATTGCCGTTGTGTAACAGTTCTAAAGTATCAAGTGTTACAACGATGACAGGGATGTCCCACCCTAGCTGTTTAAGTTGCGTTTGTACCAGTTGATTATAAATTTCATGAAATTCTTGATTCGCTGTGTGTAATAATTTTCCTTGTTCTGTCTCGATTTGTTGCTTTTTGGTTGGTGGGTCAGTAAGGTTCATGAAGTTGATAGGTACCTATTTTTGTCGTCAACTATGTTTATTCAAGTAGTGGTCGCAGTGCTTTGTATATTTCAGGTTTTAAACCATCGAGCAATAGTTGTTCTTGGGTTTGCATATGTTGTGCATGTGTTGTATCCGTCTCATGATCATAACCTACTAAGTGTAATGTACCATGGATTAATAGGTGAGCTAAACGAATTTCGGGGTCCATTTTTGTTGCTAAGGATTCTTGTGCAGCAATCGCTGGTGCAATAATAATATCGCCTATATCGCATAATTGGCTTGTCGGTGTTAAGGGTTCTTGTGTACCAGGAAAAGAAAGAACGTTGGTTGGTTTATTTTTGCCACGATATGTGTTGTTTAGTGTCTGTATTGTTTCTGAGCTAACAAAAGCTACGCCTAGCCGAATTGATGATTGTTGTTCTAAGTCGAGTGTCTGTTTAATAATATGACGTATGGCGCGTTTTGTACGTATGGACAGTGATTGTTCGGAATGAAGTTCGATGTTCATTAGTGGCGTAGAAACATTGTTGTTTAAGCTACCGTTTCTTCAGCACGTTTATCACCTGGTTTTAACCCTAATGGGTAATCAATACGATGGTGATACATACCTGTTAAAACGTCTGTAAAAGCTTTTTTTGCAATGCTCAAATCCTTTAACGTTAAAGGAGCTTGGTCTAATTGGTTATCAGCATATATTTTTTCGATAAGTCGCGAAACAAAGGCAGAGATACGGTCTGGTGTTGGATTATCTAATGTTCTTGTTGCTGATTCAACAACATCTGCAAGCATAACTAGTGCAGTCTCTTTTGAGTTGGGTTTAGGGCCAGGGTAACGATAGGTTGTATCATCGGTGATATCTTCTTTTTCACTATGTTGTTCTTTGGCTTGATTGTAAAAGTATTCGACACGTGATGTCCCATGATGTTCCAAAATAAAGTCAGTGATGACAGAAGGTAAGTTGTTTTTACGTGCTAGTTCAACCCCTTGTGTTACATGAGCAATAATGACACGCGATGAAAGTTGGGGCTTTAGTTTGTCATGAGGGTTTTGGGTTCGTTGGTTTTCGACAAAATAAGAAGGCCAATACCCTTTGCCGATGTCGTGGTAATATGCACCAACACGTGTTAAAAGTTCATCAGCTCCAATTTGTTCGGCAGCTGATTCTGCTAGTCTTGCAACGGATATACTGTGGTTAAAGGTGCCAGGTGCGTTTAAGTGTAACCATTTCAGTAATGGTTGATCATCTTGGGCTAATTCTAGTAAACGGACTTCTGAAACATAGCGTCCAATCCATTCACAAAGAGGCATTAGTGTTGCTGTTAAGATGCTAGCAATGATTCCACCTAGAAATGCTAAGGTTAAGGCACGCATGATTTCTGGTAGTGGTATTGAAGATTCGATCAAACTATAGAGTAACCAAATAGCACTTTGAACAAGACCAGCTATAAAACCCGAACGGTAAAATTGGCTACGTTGTTTGCTATGTCTTAAAACATGAATGCTCGCTAAGCTACCTAATAATGTATAAGGAAAAATGAGGATCATCGGCTCAATAAATAATGATAGGGCAAAAGCAAAAAGTACAGCGATTCTAAAAGCAATTTTTGGGCGGAAAAATAGACGAAATATCATGCCTACTGTTGCATATGGCAGTACTAATAAGATTGCCTCTCGTGGCAAATTGGTTGTTGTTAAGAGCAGTGGGTCTGTTAAGTTGCGACCGAATTGGATGATACTTAAGACAATACCTGTCATTACTAGTAAAAAGATAAGATCTTGGGGGTGACCTAGGTTACGCCACCTAGGTTGTGATGTATACGGTATCAAGATAAAGACGGCTAGGATTAGTAAAAGTATTTTAGCAATGCTAGCAACGTGTTCTTGATAATGTGATTTTTGATGGTGTAGTCCTACTAATTGTTTGGCTTGTACAGTTGTAATACGTTCGCCGCTACGAACAATTACTTCTCCTGGTTTTAGTTGGAAATAGACAGGTTTTACAGAGTTTTTTGCAGCTTCTTGTGCTTTTTCTGTTTCGATTGGGTTTGGTAGGAGGTTGGGTTGAATGAGTAGCGATAGTAAATTCGTTAAAAGCAGGCGCTCTTTAGCTGATAAATTAGGAGTGTGTGTAACGATTTTTTCTGTAATACGTTTTGCTGCTTGTAAGGCGCTTAAAACAGTTTTGTATTCTATTGGGAGAAGCTTTAGAGGTTCTTTTTCTGATGAGTTACTACTTCGAATAAGTACGCCGTTAGGGTAAGCAGCTTCCCATTTTTGTGGTTCTGTAGCTACCCGTGTTTCTCCTAAAAGGATTAGGCCTTGCTGAATAGCTTCTTGTAAAGGTACATCATTTTGAATATTTAGTAATCGTTGGTATGTCTTTTTATCAATTGGGCTGCCAATTGTTTTTTCTAGTTGTTGTTTTAACTCGTTGTCTATAGGCTTTTGAGTTTGTAGTAGCTTAAATGCTTTAGATGCTCTTTGTTGTAATGTTTCTGGTAAGCTTTCTAGACGGTCGACAATTGGTAAAACAGTATCAATTGCAGCTTGGCGTGCTTGTTCTGTTGCTTCAGGATTTTCGATAATAAGTTGTGATGTGCTACGGATAGTTCGCGGGGCAATGTCACCTGTTGTAAATTCATTTGGATCAAAGTGTTGGCCAGATGTTAATAGTAGCCCCCAGGTTACGCCAATTAGAATCATTAATAGATATGGTGTTATTGGATGTTGGACCAGACTATTAGGAATTTTAAAGGCATTTATCATACGAACATAGAGCGTATGTCTGTTTTTTGCTGGCGGCGGTGTTGATTTAATAGGGGTTATAGTCATTGTTCTCTCTTAATTTATAAAGATTTAGGCGCTAAGTTGTCTCAGCTTCATAAGCATCCAGGATTGCTTGTACAATTGAGTGACGGACAATATCTGTTTGATCAAGTGTAACGAAACCTAATTGTGGTATTTTTTTAAGAATTTTTAATGCATGACTAAGGCCGCTATATCTTTGGTTTGGGAGGTCCGTTTGGGTGACATCACCAGTAATAACGACTTGACTACCTTCACCAATACGGGTTAAAAACATTTTCATTTGTTCCGGAGTTGTATTTTGTGCTTCATCAAGAATAATAAATGCCTGGTTAAGGGTACGACCACGCATAAAAGCTAATGGGGCAACTTCGATTTTACCTGAAGAGATAAGTTGTTCGACACGGTCAAAAGGTAGCATGTCATTTAGGGCATCATAAAGTGGTCTTAGATAAGGGTTTACTTTTTCAGTAAGGTCTCCTGGTAAATAGCCTAGTTTTTCTCCAGCTTCGACAGCAGGGCGGGCTAGAATAATACGATCTACTTTTTTACTTAAGAATTTTTGTACAGCACTAAGGACAGCTAAATATGTTTTGCCTGTTCCTGCTGGTCCAATAGCAAAAACGACGTCTTTATTGGCTATTGTTTGTAGATAATGTCGTTGCCCTTCAGTTTTTGGCCCTAATTTGATGTTGTTATACGTAACTAATATCGTATTATTGTTATCTTCTGCGGTTGTTTTTGCCAAGTAGTCAGGTAGCTCCTGATCATTATTTGATTGTGGGTGCGCTGGTGGTTTGCCTGTTAGTGTTTGAGCGTATGCATTTTGTAAATAACTGATGGCTTGTTGTGTTTGGCTACGTGGGCCAATAATACGGATTTTATTGCCTCTTGGGTGTAAGGTGACGCGAAATTTTTTTTCTATTTGTCTTAGGTGCTGATCACGCTGGCCACACAATAGACGTAAGGCTTCAAGATTTTCGAAAAGAAGCTCTTCAATAATTTCTGGTTCGCGTGTATGTCGATTTAATTGAGGTTTGCCCAAAAGGACTCTCCAGAGGGCGAGGAATCAAACCATCAGAATAAAATGTTTAGTCTAAACAGACCGTATTAAATGTATATTTTAGCATGATTATTCGGGAAAGAAAAAAGTTAATCAGATTAAGGTAGGTCTTGTTTTGTCGGAATATTTATCTTTAGTCGAATAGAAAGATTATTTATGTGTTTATCATTTAGATTTGGTCTCTGTTTATTTTTTTAAAAACCATCAACTAATAAATAAAAATTGTATACTAAACAGATGATCATCCTATTTGAACCTTATTATGGGGCTAAATCTAGGTATCTAGGTCTGTATCGTGGATAGAGTGAATCGAGTTAGCAAGATGTCAGAGTCTGAACAAATTTCAAAGATTATTAAGCGGTATCCTAATCGCAAGTTATATGATACAAGCGAAAGTCGTTATGTTAATTTAGACGAATTGGCAAGTATGATTCGACAAGGTCTTGATGTGCAAGTTGTTGATCACAAATCTGGTGAAGATATGACAGGTATGGTACTTGCGCAGATTCTCTATGAGGACCAGAAAAAGAAAAAGCGTGCTATGTCAGCAGACATGATGAAGCGTATGATCCAGCTTGGTGGGCAAAGTATGGGAGTGTGGGTAGGCAAGCTTTTTTCTGGTGTAGAGCATCCTCTACAGGCAATTCGTGAAGAGGTTGAAGGTCAGGTACGCAAACTAGTTGAGCGCGGACAGTTAACTAGAGATGAGGCAAATCGATTTTTAAAAGAGTGGATAGATGATACAGCTCAAAATATTGAAGAGTGGCAAGCAAAAGTTGATGAACGTATTGTCGAAATTTTTAACCGTGTTACAGGAATCCCCTCTTTAAAAGATTATTTTGAAGAGTTGATAGATCGACTTGATTTAATGGAAAAAAGGCTTGATGTTATTGAAGACCGTTTTCGGAGGGCGATGAAGAAAAATCGTAAATAAGAGGGCTTATAGGTATTTAGTGCAATGAAGAACTCCATTTAAGTTGTTGCAGAATGTCGCCTTCGAGGGTCGTCAGTTCGTCTAAACGTACATAGATGGTTTCGAAATCATGATAATTTAAAACCATCTCTACAAATACATTCCCATGTTTTGCTTCTACCGCCCATAAATCTCGATAGAAAGATTTCCAATCAGGATCTGTTAATTCCTCATAAATAAGCCGAAACCGTTCAGCACCTCGTGTTTCAATGATCGATGCTAGTAGCATACGGTCAATAAAACGCTCTTCTTTACCAGTGCGGCAGTGTTTGAGTAACTGATTGACGTAAGGATCTGGTGTATCTGAGGTGAGAGGAATACCTGCAGCAGCCATTCTAAGATAAACGTCGCGAAAATGGTCTAATTCTTCCTGTGCTGTTTCAATAAGTTGAGGTATTATTTTTGTACGGTCTGGATATTTTACGATAAAACTCATAGCTTGGGCTGAAGCTTTACGCTCCATATTGGCATGTTCTTGAAGGAATTTAGGAAAGTTAGATAAAGCTTGTTGTGCCCAAGTATTAGGTGTTTGATATTTTAGATCGAGACGAAGATTGACCATATCTTTCAAGTGCTTTCAAAAAAAAGTGGTGTATCTGTATAAATATATATAGAACATATAGATTATTGCTGTATAAATAATGCTGCAAAATTAGCTAGATCTGTCTAGCTAGTTATAATTGGGCTAGATTGTGTTTTTTGTTGTTTATTACTTTTGTAGTAAGCACTTTTTAACTTTATTTAATATGTTTTATTAGGAAAAAATAGTGCGTTCAATACTTGATAAGGTTTTTGAAGATAGTAAATGTTGGCAAATAATCATCAGGATTTAGTAAGTGTAGATCCAGATAAACGGTTACGTTTAGCGGTTGTTATTCCTTGTTATAACGAGCCAGACTTAGATAAAACACTTTTTTCATTATTTGCTTGTACGCCGTTGGAGACAGGATCCGTAGAGATTATTGTTGTTGTTAATGATTCAGAAGATTCTCCAGCAGTAAGTTGTCAACAGAATTGCAAGACAATTTCGCAGTTGCAAAAGTTAGCGTTAGATTTTTGTTCATCGTCTTTAAAGGTTTTGACACTTGACGCAAGAGGTATGCCAAAGCGGTTTGCTGGTGTCGGATCTGCAAGAAAAATAGGTATGGACTTTGCCGCTAAACGTTTACAAGCCGTTGCTAGCCGAGATGGTATTATTGTGAGTTTGGATGCGGACTGTCGTGTTGCTCCAAATTATTTGGTGGCTATTGACGAGTATTACCGTGGAAATCCGTATTGTGTCGGTGCAACAATTTATTTTGAGCATCCACTATCAGGAGATTTACCATCAAGAGCATACGAGGCAATTGCAGAATATGAATTATTT